AATACCTACTATATTTGGAACTTTCATGGAAAAATAAGAAATTAAGTTTAAAAATACCAAAAATATTTTCCCAACATGAAAATACAAATAAAATGAAATACCAAGAAATAATAATTACTTATTAATAATACACGAATCATGATAATGAATACAAAATCTATATGTATAAAAGAAAGTCAGGTTATTTACAGAATTTATAATTCAAAATCGGCTGGATCGATTTTGATAATCTCTGATTTGTTGGATTCGTCTCCGTACAAGAATAAAAATAACTCTAATATTGGCAAGAATACAGACAATTAACTAGATAAGTAAAAATTTTATCTTAGATAAGTAATTAGATAACTTAGCATTATTTATCTAGATAAGATAAAAGATGTCAAAAAATCTATCTAGATAAATCCCAACACTGATCACTGTGTTTCAATAATGTGTGATAATTATTACAAAATGTAAAAAACAATAAGTTATATATATTGATATAAAAGGTACCTATTGCCAAAACGATAATATTCGATAAGATTTGTTATCATGCTAGGATAATATTAGTTATATTATGAACATAAAATATCAATGGTTTTATAACTTATAAATATATATTTATATATATATATATATTTATGTCCATTTGTCCTTATTCGTTAAATGCTATTGTAGAGCATATATGTATAATAGTTATACAAAAATGTGATGCAATTTTCCATTAGGTTTTTGTTAGACTTTGATTTCAAATGCATTACCATAAATGTTTTCATACGCTGTGAATATTAACATTAACTTAGTGTTTTTTATACTAATTTTTATAAATTTCGATAATAAACACATAATGTTCTCGTTCTCTTCCGCCTTTAAATGGCTTTTCACCAGATATTTGGTGTGCCAAAAACTTTCTTTTTTTTTTATATATTAGAGTCATTGAATCACAGTACATTATCCACAGGCATGGGCTGTAAATACTTATATTCGTATACACCTATTATATCCAGCTATATGCAAATACATAACAAATATAATTGTAAAAAAAAATTAAAAAATGAAAACAGTTACTTTTGACGATTTGCAACATCCATGTGATATATCTTCCCAGTCTTTGTATACTCATATATTCAAATTAAAAAAACTCTAAAAACAAATATGTATTCGCAACAATTGAAATAAAAAAACAGTCACAGAATCTTTAATGTATAGACTGTTAATTATAAATAATATAAACGCATGTAATATTATTTTAATACAATAAAATATTATTATATTTTATATCAGAATTATTAAAATACAGTACATAATCCAGAGATGTGTTAGTATATTATTTATTTTTTTTAAATAAACGAAACGTGTTTCGTAAATCTCGCATAAGTTTTCTCGATCTGTTTTATTCAACGGATCCTATCTCTAAACGGTTAGAGTATAATTTCTATGCGCATCGCACTTACGATTACATTTATTATTAAGTTTTTCATTTAATTATGTACGAATAAAACGATATGGGGGTCAATGTTGCACAGCATCCCCTAACATTATATTACACGTTTGAATAGGCCATTATAACGGCAGCGTGCGTTAATTATGTCGTTTCATATCATCTGGATAATAAAGAAAGCAAACGGGTAGTGGTGTAACAAATCACTGGCACACAACGCTTTACATTAATGGTTTAATGGGTTTGTGTATGTATCAGTTAATATTTTCGTCTGTTAATAAACAAATGTGTATTTTTTTATGATTTTGTCACTTCGTGTATCTATGTACATTATATAACACTATATCTACTATATTAGTATACGTGTATAAATTATAATGTATCTGCCTACATAAATACACCCACGTCTACCGTCGATCGATTTGTCGTGTCTCCCATCTATTGTGCACGTAACGCAACGACACTAATTTAATTTTCATATGAAGGCTAAGCGAGTATCTATATTTTATTAAACATTTATCGTTCGATCGATGAATATAACTAGATTAATAAAGCTCTTTATTATTTAAGAAAATATAGCGTATTTTATCAATTTAAATTTTGCCATCGAACAACCCGTCATATTTATTATGGAAGCGGCTTGCGAACCGAGTTTTATACGCAAATAATATAAAATATTCGTTTTCTTCATAATCTAAGAAAACAAAAACCTCTACTCAGCTGTAATATTTATTTTCTAGCGAACATCAAGTCCTAAATACCAATCAATAAATAAAGTTATTGTACTATTCATCATAGTTATCCAGAAAACATCACGAGGTGGTGAATTTTGTTCCGTAAAATACTACTATATCATTAAGAAGAATGGATACCGTGATTGGCTGACTCTGGTTGTGACACGCGAGATATTATTGTCAGTGAATCGCCGTTATTCCACGTGCGAAATATTTCAACGTGCACCCTTTAAAAATACCCCTTCTCCGTTATTTTCACCAACTCTGATTACTATAGAACTCGACTACTATAGCCTTACAGGGTTTTTTAATTAAACGTTGTATAGTTATGATTGATTTATATAGACAGTTCATATTATTGAATAAAAATACGATCAATAAAACTATAAAACCTTTTTTTTTTTTAAATTATCGACCTAAAAATATACACGAATAGTCTAATTATGTGAAATTATACTTCGTGTAAAATCGAATAATTTATAATTAGTAGAAGTAGTATTTTAGTCATTTAGTTTTAAAATTAATCCAAATATTATCTGACTTGTTAACTATTTACAGAACAGTTGATGAATCATATTGGGAGTTTCATAAATAATATTATTGATCATCATATATTTTGTTTGTATTTTACGGTTTTATATTAAAATAAAATGTATACATTTAAAACTATTTTACACATAATACTTATAAAAACGTATTTTTCAACAAAAAACTTTTAACTATTTCATATTCTTGTATATTAATTTGACGACATGTAAATTGATTTTATGTAGATGAAGATCTTCACGTATTTTTGTTATTTTAATTATAACTTGAGAATAGATAATTTTTTTTTTTTAAATAATTAAAATTCAATAACAATTTTATTACTTCGATATATATATAGATTTAGCATTATATTTCTTAATATAAAAATTATTTTAATTTTAAACCTTGAAGCTTTCTTTCAAAGTAGAGACAATACATTTGAAATCGTTTCTTTTTCGACTCAAAATCGCTTGAACGTAATTTAACACTTATCATGTGATCGCGATACCCTAAGACGATGAATTTACATAAGTTGTTTGGTTCAATGCTATTAACAAATTAGTTTTAAAATTAGATGCATGACACAGAAATTAAAAATTGTATCTATTTATCGTTTAGTGTAATAAAATCAACATCTAATCTATCTATCTATATCCATCACAATCTAAAATAATGGTATTATACATATACTGTACTTAAAGTATTATATCTTATTTTAAGTAATTATTATTAAAACTCACTTTGTCTTTATTTACGCAAAATTATTATTAGCTTTTCTTTTTTTTTTTTTTTATTTGAAAAAAAATTATATTTACTATTTGTATTTACAAGTTATACAATCAGTAAATTGGATATTTTTTTAGAATGACGGGAAGGGGAAATCACCCATTAACGACACCCCAAAGGAAAATGTTTTAAGAAGAGAGTAGGTCCCTGCCCAGTTTCTTTTGAGGCATCTGGGTGGGTTTCCTGGGATTTTTTTTTTTTTTGATGAAAGGTTAGTAATTATAAGATTTGTGTGAATATTGAAAGTTTTGTGTGTTTTTATGTAAGTGCAGCAAGATTGTTTAAAGTTTTATGTAGTGAGTCATAAGTGATGTACCAAGGAGCTCCTGTTATTAATCGTAGAGAAATAGATTGAAAAGCCTGTACTGTTCTGGTGTTGGACGGTTTTGCTAAGCCCCAAATTTGGATATCATAGTACCAGATAGGTCTCAGAAGAGCCATGTATATTGTACGTTTTGTTTTGAGGGAGAGTTTGGAGTGGAGTAGAGGTCTGAGAAGGTGAAGTCTCGAATTGAGAGTTTTGGGTTTGTTTTTTTAATGAGGAGCCCAAGTGAGGCGTTTGTCAAGCGTTAGTCCCAGGTATTTAGTTTGTGTGTGAGAGGGTATTTATGTATCATTGATAAACGTTGGAGGGCGTAGGGTGAAGGTGACTTGAGAGGATTTAGCTGGATTGACGTTGATTTTCCAGTTGTGAAACTAAATGTTTAGCTCAGATAAGTGGTTTTTAGATTTTTTGAGTGGCTTGGTTAGGATGGTTATTGATAGCAAGAATAGCAGTTTCGTCCAAAAATGTACCTAATAGAGTGTTTGGATTTAATAGTAAGTCACTGGTAAAGGCATTGAAAAGAAAATGGGCTATATCACTGCCTTGTGGAACACTTGCTGTCGCTATTTGAGAGTGAGAAAAGGTACCGTTAATTTTTGTGATGAATGTTCTTTGGTTTAGGTATGATTTTCTTAGTAAATAATACGGAACGGGTAAGAATGATTTAAGTTTGAAGAGAAGGCCTGGATGCCAATCACGGTCGAAAGTCTGTGCAATATCGAGGAAGACTCAAATGCAAACTTGTTTGCTCTCGAATGCCAGCGATATGTGGTCAACAACTCTGTGCAGCTAATGGATCGTGGAGTGTATTTTTTTGAAACCGAATTGAAATTCGGGAATAATTTTGTTAACTGTGAAAATTATTAAAATTCTTTTCAGGAGTAGTTTTACAAATAGTTTCCCTAGAACTAGGAGAAGGCTTATAGGATGGTAGGAGGAAGGAGTTTCAGAAGGTTTGCCTGGTTTGTGAATAAGTAGTATTTGGGCATGTTTCCAGATGGCATGTAGGAAAGGCGAAATATAGAGTTAAATATATATAATAGTTTTATTGTTTTATGCTGTAGCTGACTTAAGAATGGTACTATAATAAGGTCATATCCAGGTGCTTTCCTGTTTTTTTAAGCATTTTATATGGGTTAATACTTCATTTCGAGTAGTGGGGTTTACTGTCATAGAAAGTAGTACTGAGCTTTCTAAAAAGTCATACACTCTAGAAGAGTGCTGTGGGTTTGTTTGAATATCGTTTGGCATAAATACTGTAGCAAGGTGTTCAGTAAAGACGTTGGCTTTTTCAGGGTCGTCCATGATTTTTGAATTATCAGAGCGGCGGAGTAGAGGAATGGGTTCAATGTAATTGAGGATTCTTTTAGTAGCGAACCATTTGATGGATCTAAGTTAGAAATATAAGTATCGTAAGTTTGATTTTTATGATTTTGAAGTTGTCTTTTAAGTTTGTTTATTAGGTTATTAAAAGTTCACTTGTCGTTAGGGTAGCCTGTAAATTTCCATTTGGCACAAGCTTTTATTTTTTGCTTAATAAATGCTTTGATGTAATCTGGGAGAGGGTGTTTGTCGAAAATAGTGAATAATGCTGTATAGTTGTTTTTGAGTGACAGGCCTGTTTTGCCGCTGATTGGATCAATTCAACAAAGGCTAATGATGCTTGATCAAGATCTTGCGCAGTTTTAAGAGGTAGGCCTAATTTTGTATTTATTTTTAAATAGTTTTTGTTCTGGGCCCAGTTGATTGGATTTGTAGTTAGTGAGGGTTATTTTAGAACTTGATTTATTTCACCGTCAATAGCTAGTTTAACCGAAGAATGGTCAGAGGAAAAGTCAGTGATATTAAATATAGAGAGAGACAAGTTGCTAGGGGTGGAGTGTATGAAGAAGTCTAGAATATCTGGATGCCTGTTGGTATGGCTAAGCCAGTATGTCGGACCGATGGATGAGAGGTGTGACCAATTGCGATCGGTGACGGTTTTGTGGAGAATTTCACCTCTTGTGGAACTTGAGCGACAACCCCATGATGGATGTTTAGCGTTGAAGTCGCCATCGGCAATAAAATTACTTCCTAGCAAGCTAAAGAGTTAGAAAAATTCTAGGCAGGTAATTTTTTGGTTTGAGGGGGGGGGGCAGTAGACTGAAGCGAGTGTTAGGGGAACATGATTTACCACCGTTTAGATAGATACTGACTGAAGGTTGGTTTGTGAGTGTAGGTTGTGTATTAGATTGGTGGCAATGATTATGGCTGAACCTGCGTGGACTGAACCATCCAGACGATCAGCGCGGTAAATTGAATACCCAGGACATTTTGGTTTTAATGCTTTAGTTAGGTGGTTGCTGTGATAAATGCTATGTGGACACTGTATTTAATTAAGAAGTTATGTAACTCGAGTTTATGCTGATTTAGACCATTTGCATTGCAGAGGATGATATTTGTTGCGTTATTAATCATTACGACTGAATATTTTGTTGATTAGTGATGTAAGAAAATAAATGAGAGGGGCTAATAGTAATTTAAATTTGTTTAGGAAGGATGTGAGGTTGGGAGATTTTGAATCTCTGAATCTGGGGTGATATTTTTCCTGGGGATTGCATGGGTGTAGGTTGGTTTGACGTTACTGTTGAGTTGATTCGGCGCTGACTGGTGAACTGTGTATCTTGAAGAGTTTGATGTTGAGAAGAAGTTTAGTCTGGAGTTTTGAGCCTGAAAAGTGGCTTTGGACGTGGTGCTTAGGTGAAATTTTTGGAGGTTCTTATGAACTTGACAAACTCTATAGTTGGCTGGGTGTGACAGGTTGAAAAGAGCGCAGTTTGCACGAGTGTCATTACTTTATTGCATTCACTCGATAGGTGGTTATTACCACATTTCACACATCTAGGCATATGATGCAGTACGCTTGAGTGTGGCCATAGGACTGGCAACGTGTACATTGAACAAGGTTTCGTCTCGATCGAGGTTCCTCAATTTTTATTTTAGTATGGTAGAGTGAGTCTATTTTAAAAATATATTTGTTTATTGGTGAAGGCTCTAAGTCGACAAAAAAAAGAGACAGGTATTTTGGTTTGACTGTGTAAGATATTAGTGATATTTCTCATAGTGAAGTCTTTGAGTTTTAGTTCTTCTTTTATCATGTCAATGTATGTGGAGTGGTGATGGTGTCTTATTACTATGCGATAAGATTTTTATCTCTGATTTGGTATGTGTGGAAATTAGCTTTTTTTCTTTCAGAAATTTTACAACTTTGCCATATGCATCAATTGTGTATGTGTTTAATTTTAGTCTGATTGCAGAAGATTTGCATAGAAAACCTTCTGGTTATGTTAGCGGTTAAATTTTTCTAAATCAATATAGTGCTATGCGTATAATTTTTAATTTTTTTTTTCAATTCTGAAGTGAAATAAGTTTTTTTATCGTAAAAATTACATATGTAAACGATTTCTGTGCTATTGATAACAAAATTTTATAAAACTAATACATGCTTGATAGAATATCATTAATTTATGGCGTTATTATATAAACAAATAACAACGGTGCACATATTCATGTGACTTATTATTAAAATATAAGTGAAACTTTTGACTAGTGGAACACAATTATTTTCTTCCTCTCACAAAACAATATTCTTATATTATTTGATTATTATGTTTATAATTAAACGCATTATATACCAGTATAAAATATTGGTTTTTACGAACTAAATACTAATTTCTGCGTTAGAAATATGAATATATTTTATTTTAATTTGTATTTCTGCTTATTCTATACATAGTGGTGGTATTACGCAAACCAAATTAAAAAGAGTCGGCAATGGATTATAATAATATGCGAGAAAGTGAGCTTTTGAAAACATTAAGTAAATACAAATATGAAAAAAAAAGTAATATTTAAAAAAATATATGTCATTTTTGTGAATAAAAAAGAGATATAATGTATATTTTTTAAAACAATTTATCCCAACAAAAAATATTTTTATACATTTTCAAATATTTAAAAATCTAATAAGTTAATCCTATAATAATTGTACACTTATTTTCATTTAAAAAGTGTGCTTTTTTTATTTTAAATAACATATTCACATGATATAGGCTATAATTCAGTTATTAAAAAGTATTTTCTTTCTTAAAGTATTCATTCAGTTCAAATTGTGTTTTATATGAATTAATTTTGTATTATAATTCTCCTATAGACACCCAACTGATAAATATTCAAAAAATGTATACATTTGCACTAAATACATTCAATTAGTATTATTATTCTATATTATTCAAATTTTTAATTTATATTATTTATCATAAAAAACAATTTATTAAAAAAACTGTATTAAAAGTTCAATATAATGTTAAAAAACTTAAATTTTCAAAATATGTTCTTAGAAACCTTGCACAAAGGTGTTGAAAAATATGGTAAATTATTTTATAGAAGATTTAATTACTATCAAAATTAAAATATTACCAATCTAAGTAATAATAGTATTATGTATATAAATATGTGTGTATATATTCTGCAAAATATAAAGGGCTATTATGAATTATGTTTTAGAAATAAAATTTTTGGTCAGGTGATTCGTATAATAACGTTAACAGTCTATGTATATTTGATTGATAAAATTATGTATGACGTATTTTTTATAATTTTCATTATTTTAGATTATTTTTTAATATTTTTTGGAAAACAAATGAAATAATTTTAATATAAGTTTTAATCACCGTTTATATTCGATATTGAATATTTTTTTTATCACTTTAATTTACAAGAACAGCGAAAAAATAACATATTACAATATACAGCCAATATATTCCATGTTTCATGAAAAATCATACTAAATTATGTCTTGTTATGATAGATTTAGACATATTAAAAGTATAATTCATACAAAATAACATTTTATATTAAAATAATAACAGTTATACAGTATAAGATAAATCATGTAAAAACGTTGTATACGTTTTTAATTTAAATATCATTTGTTTTATTTTTTAATACCTGACAAAATCAAAAAAATACAATTTTAATACTAAATACAAATCCCAATAATATTTAACAATTTTTAATAAAAATATAATTTTATAAAATTAAATAGGCATAATCTGTTTATTTCAGTATTTAGTGAATTTGTGACTGTTTTTTTTTTTCAGATTAATATTTGGGATGTCAAATTCTTCATTGATATGCTTTATAAAATTATTTAAAGATATTATATACTATATGATTTATAAAAAGGTAAATTTTATTGAGCGAATTATCATGTAAAAGGATACTTGTCTTTATATTAAATTTGTAAGATCCAACGACGTGATTCAATTTTCAACAAAAAAATAAATTTATTCTTATTTCTTTCGTAAAATTGAATTTACATCACAATCTTCCCTGAACAATTTATATTTGATTAAAGATTTTCCTACCTAGTTTTGTTTACAATAATTTGAATTTTTAAACTAGTAGAATAATTTATTTCTCTGTTAATTAACTCAATTTTTACATTAGTCATTCAGGACTCCGTTTTAGTTTTTTTTTTTTTTTTTAAATACATTTACTATCTGTATACATAAGAAAACAATAAGTAATTAAATATAATGATATTAGTACTCGTTGGAAGCTGAATTTGGACATTGGTTTGTTGATCCATTTGGTACCCTCTCTATATGTGATTTAGGATTGATTAACGAAGATACGATGGTTGATACGGGGGTTTTAGATTTTTGTGACGACATGGTGGTTTATCACTAATCGAAAGCGTTGCGCAATCGATAGCCGATTTCGGGATGGATGGCCGAGCACGTCTGTTGTTGATAACAATTACAATAATTACCAATTATATTAATTATTAATATACTTGGTAATTAATTTTTATAAGATACCAGATCTGGTGACCGGAACAATTTCCATTTAATGATATTGTGCTTGATTTGATTGTAGATAATTTTTAAGGAGAAACACGTTTTTGAATGATAAAAACGGAGCAGAATTGCTTAAGTGAAATAGAATTATGGAACAATATAATGGCGAACAATGCTTCATGGTCCACGACTTTCACAGCATTTAATTTAGATTTTTCAACAAAAAATAATTTTTCGTAAAAAACGTCAGTTAGATTAAAAATTAAAAATATAAGAGTGGATTATGGATTGTAATCCATAAAAATCAGTCAGTCAGCAGTGTCTATGGCTGATTAGAATTACTGTACTTTACGTACAACACATCAAATTAAAGTAAATCGAACGAACAATGATTTCTCAAAAAAAAAATTACATTTTTATATCTTAAAACCCATTTTATGATATGATTACTAATACTAATCTTACAATACATATAATCAAAACGATACTTATTTCCAAATTACCTGATCCAGTTAATTTTCTCTTCTTCGTAAACATATCACAGTGTCTATTTAATAAAATGTCTACACCGGAATTTATAACAAAACCAAAGATAATTGATAAAAAAAATGTAATAATTTGGAATTTAATATAAATTAAACATATATGTAAGTACAAAGCTGTAACTAGGAGATGAAGATCAGATCTCTCTCAAAATGTTTTCTTAAAATAAAATTGAACGATTTTAAATACCTATAACAATTGAAATTTTAAAATTGTAGAGACATAAAACAAATTTTATACTTTAAATTCCTCAAAAAAAAAAAAAATAAATAATATTTTTCCGGCTTTAGCCTTGAGCAGATAAAATACCTACCGAGCGTAAAATATTTAATTAGTAGACCAGTAGATATGAAATGTATTTAACCATTAAAATCTGTTCAAACAAGCTTGCTTTATTTTTATACTATAAGAGTAGGGAAAGTCAACGAAAATATAACATAACGAACCAAGATAATTTCATTAAATTAATTCGAGAATAATATTGTTTCCACACTTAATGATTACGCTATGAAAAAAAAGGCGAGGAGCGCCTATATAGTATTCTTTTTTTTAAATTCCATCCAACTTTAATAGCCACAAGCCTTTTAATTAATAAAATTAATTACATTTTCATAAATTAGCATAAACACTGGGCATCAGTT